CTAGGTAAACATATTTTACATAAATATTTTATGCATGTATCTCTAACTTCTCTTTTATTATTTTTAATATATGAAATATTAGAACTATAAACTACTAGTTTATTTTTATGGTTGTACTAAATAATATTGGGAGTACAAATAAATCTCCGCCGTTTGACAAAAGATGACCCCACTAGTAAGTTATGATTGAAATTGTCAGATGTAAAACGTCATATCGTAAGGTTAGACATCTGGCAACATCATAACCTTGAAATATTAACGATTTTGTATTAGCATCACATAATTTTTTTCGTGCAAAAATGTCGAGTTTTGAGCCGAATAAGCGTCATTTGCGGGAATTTTTGATTTACTTCTTTAATTTGAAGAAATCTGCAGCTGAGGCGTATCGATTGCTTGTAGAAGCATATGGTGAGGTTGCTTTAAGTGAAAGAAGTTGTCGTGAGTGGTTTCAAAAGTTTAAAAACGGTGAGTTTGACGTCGAAGACAAAGAACGTAGCGGAAGGCCGAAAGTGTACGAAGACGCGGAATTAGAAGCATTATTGGAGGAAGATTCGTGCCAAATGCAAGAAGAACTTGCACTTACATTAGGAGTGATTCAACAAGCAATTTCACATCGTTTAAAATTGTTCTGCAACTTCGGACCGTCAAAAAGACGTCATTATTTGGTTACTTGAAAGATAAACGACGTAAAATTCACGTCATTATCACGAGTGTCTGCTACCTGGGCTAAAATCAATGTTGATATGTAAGGACATCTTCAGGATATTAGTAAGATCAAATATAGTTAACTACGCACATCCTACTGATATTCAATTATTACTTCCTATGGATGTTCAAAAAACGGACATATAGATGTCCTCGTCCAGACAGCACCAAATATTTATAAAATATTTACAAAATATTTATAAGATTTATTTGAATATTTTATAAATATTTACCAAAATATTTTATAAATATTTTTATGACCTTAGAGAGTTTTAATAGATCATAAATATTTTTATCATAAATATTATAAAAATATTTATTAAAATGTATAATATATTTATATACTTTTTTCTTTTTTCTAAAATATATATGTTCTTAGTTTTCACTTTATATTGTTTCACACGCTACTTAATTCAAGTTAAAATTGTACTTCAAAAATTTGCTTACTATTGCCAAGATTCGAACCTGAGATCTCTGGTTCTTGAGTCGTTTACTTTACCTACTGCGCCACTGTCACTTTGACTGAAGATGCTTTATATTGTATATATATATGGTATATCCATGTACGAAAACAAATGATTTATTTAAAAGAAAAGAATAGATCTTTTTAAATGTAAAATTTATGTTTAAAAAGTATATTTAAAAAGTATATTTAAAAAATATTTACTTGTTTTAAAAATAAATAAAACACAATCATCATTTTACATACATAAATCATTTTGTAAATTTAAATAAATTATTTTTTGACAATAAGAGAAACTTTATTTAAAACATGAAAAAGATACTTTTAATATTAGAAAATAATTTATTTAGATTTATAAAATGACTAACTTGTATTTGATTTACTTTTAAAATAAGCAAATATTTATTTAAACACAGTTTTTACATTAAAAAAAAACTAATTTTCTTTTTGTAAAGAAATAATTTTTTTTTCTAGAAATTCATAATTTTATAGCTCATTTTACAAATTTAAAAAAATATTATTTTATATTTATTACATATTTTCTAAAATTTAACAAATATTTTTTTAAGTTAAGAAATTATATTTCATAACAAAATATATTTCTTTGATTTAAAGAATTTTTTTTGTATATACATTACTAATTTAAATTTCAATTTTCTTATTTCTTCATTAATTTAATAATTTTAAAAAATTACATTTATTTTTTTTTATGTATACTATTTGTAGAAATATTTATAAAATATTACTACAAACCCGCTAAACATGAAACCATTTTGGGACGTCGCATTTTTTCTATTCTTTAGCAAATTTGAAACTTTTTTCATGTGTACGTTTTAGATTGTTGAATTACCACATTACCATTTAACGATTAATTTGCGTTAATCGGCGAGACGTGTTAAAAACGTTTCTTTTTAGTCTTAAAATCAGTGATTTGCAACGTCGTAAATGAAACTTTCCGTAACGTTCAAGCAACTTTTTGTGTAGAACGTTTGTTAGTGACGTTGATGCTACTGCCACACTCGTGCGGTTTCTAAAATATTTTCATTTAGACGTATTTCAAATCGTTTCGCTTGAACTGTGAATGTTGATAATTCAAATACGCCGCATTAACGTCTCAAACGTAACGTTTATGCATGCGCGTAATATAATAAAGGATTAAGGGACACAAATGGTTCCTTTGTTTTTATCTTATCCTAAAGTGTAGATCCAGCCGTTGTTTTCCGCAAATGAACGGTGCATTATTGGTGTATTAATTATTGATAATATTAAAAAAAAACTGGTTATGGCCCACAACGGCATCAGTGATCAAATGACGACCTCCCAACAAACACGAGATGTAAGTAATAATTTAATTTAATTCTTACATATGGTATACGCACATACATAACCTCTAAAAACGACTTCGAAAAATACACGACGCGTAGTGGGTGTGAGCGGAAATGTGCGTGAGATTATGAGATAGTGCTAAAAAAATGGGGGAAAAAAAGGTTTCTTGTCAAAAAAGCATATTCGTCGAATCGTCAGGAAAGAGTTGTTCGACAGTTTATCAGCGAAAAAAGTGCGAAACCCGGAGGATAAATCGCGAAATAAAACGGAATTTCTAGACTCCGCGGATGGAACGAAAAATCTGAATCTAAATAAGGCGAATAATATTGAACAACCTACGCAGATCAATCCTAACCATATTGCAGAATTTTTAGAAAATAATAATGATGATGCATTATCTGCCAGATCTATAAACGAAATGACGCTAGTTCAAAACAACATCCCTTTTCAATTGCATAATATCAACGAAGAAATACCGTCTTCCACAATGGAAGAATTCGTTCTCAAAAACATAACACAATGAACTCTCAAATACCGGCATTTATTAAGCCAGCAAGTTATTAATGATATGTTGCAAATTCTATGAGTGCCATATTTCCCACAGATTCCCGTAGTCTTCTAAAAACACCAAATTCATTTATGAAATATTCAGTGTACCACCTGGACTATATTGCCACATCGGTATAGAACATACTCTCCACAGACTATTTGAAAACAATGTTGAGTTTCAAAATTATATATATAAAAACAAAAATATTGTACTACCAATAGACATAAACATTGATGGACTACTTATTTCAAAAAGTTCCAAAAGTCAATTTTGGCCAATTTTGATTTCAGTCGATATCGATTTACTAGGTTAAAGCGGAAGAAAACCATTGGCAGCTGGAATTTACCACGGACATTCAAAACCAGCTGATGCTAATCAATTTTTGACAGAATTTATAAATGAATTAAAACATTTGCAAGATAATGGATTTAACATCGGCAGTAAAAATGTTAAAATACGAATCAGCAAATTGCTTTGTGATGTTCCAGCTAAGTCCTTTATTTTATGTACGAAAGGTCACACAGGATTTTACAGTTACACTAAATGCATTCAAAGTGGTAATTTTATTAATAATAGACTAATTTTCCAAGAAATTAATGCCGAGTTAAGAACCGATACGAGTTTCAGAAATAAGTCAGATGAAGACTTTCATAAGGGTACAACTTTATTTAAGAATATTAATATGGAGTTTCACAAGTACCCCTTGACGGTATGCATTTAGTTTTCCTCGGAATAACGAAAAAATTTATAACTTTCTGGATGCGAGGATCAAAAGGCATTCGATTTTCTGACGATAAAAAAAAGTTATTAATGAAGAAATATTGTTTCTTAAAAATTCGGTACCCATAGATCAATCGATTGTCTAGAAGTTTAGAAGACATTGAATATTTTAAAGTCACAAAACTGAGACAATTCTTGTTATATATCGGACCAATTGTTCTCCGAAATATGAGAAATAAAAATATGTACACACATTTCATAACATTATCATGCGCTATTCGAATTTTGTGCAGCCCTACATCGTATTTCACGTACAACAATTACGCTCTGCAGCTTATAAAATATTTTATTCAGAAATATTCCTTTCTTTATGGCCCCGAGTTTATTAACCACAACGTATATGGCCTTGTCCGCGGATTGCTTATTGCACGACTCACTGGACACGTTCAGTTGTTTTAAATATGAAAACTTTCTCCACCAAATAAAACAAAAAGTTCAAACAAAATACCCCCTGCAACAAATTTGCAATAGACTGAAGAAACAAGAACAAGTCAAGGAACAGAATAATGAAAATTTCCCAATTTTGTATCAGCAAACTAAAATAAAAGTCACTAACAAAGAACATTACGCATTTTACAAAAAAATACTGAGAAATTTACATTTAGCACAGCAAATAACGAAAACTGCATAATGATCAGAGACAAATCTATTTTATATATTGATAGTATTTTCCAAAATACTAGCACTTTGCAAATTTTTGTAACAGGAAGAAAGTTTGTAGACCCAATGTCTTTTTCCAATTCACTATGTTTTTCTAAACTATTGAATATATATCAGACGCAAAGTATTTCTGAAGCAACATATACCGTTAGCATTTCTGAAATTCAGGCAAAATGCGTACAATTTCCACACAAAAATAACTTCGTGATAATGGCAATGATTCATACAAACTAAAACAAAGTTTATAGTTAATAAAATAATAATAATAAGAAAATTTAAAATTATACTGCCGCGTAATACACATAATAAATAAAGCATATAATAACCTATTTATAGTAACTTGTATTCAAAATCCAATTTTAATATAAAATTAAAGTAATGCAATTGATATGTAAACAATGAGGTAATTCTCAGATCTTTATTTACATTTTTTATATTTTTAGATATATGCATTATAACCTTTACTTATTATTTCAATTTCTCTGGTCTGTGGTTGAATTTGAGCAGCAATTAGAAGATTCTACAACAGCAGAAGTGCCTTTAACGTGGGTGACAATTTTAGAAAACATAATGACGTGCAAATGGCCACCAAAAAACAGTCGTAAAAAAAGCGATAAAAAACGAATATCCCCGTTGGATTCTTGGGAAACGTGGACCATAGTGAACATTTTATTAAAAACTGGTAATGATTGTTTAAGTTATTTGAAGTATATACGTAATACTAACAAACATTTATCTAATATGACTCTATGTACACAAATACCATGAATAATTTTGTTTGACAGACGATTACCAATATGCTGTGGATTTTGCAAGAAGGAAAACAAAAACGGATACCGATACATCAGCTGCGGAAGCTGGCAGAAGGAAACGAAGGATAAAAAAAAGATCCAAGAAGAATATGCAAGCGAATTCAATAACGATTCTTGCCATGAGCAACAATATTGCAGAATGACGCCACCTCCGTCAGTGTCTGCTACATTTGGTATACTAGTAATACCTTATTGATAAAATTAAATAAAGTGTTAAATTATCTTTCATAGAAAATTGAAATTATATTAAAATTATAAGCGCTCATAGTTTAAAATTTGTAAAAAAAAAAATATTTTTCTTTATTTTCAATTTAATGAGTAACTTCTTTTTCAGATCTTCCGTTAGAAGATCAGTCGAACCAAGTAACTCAAACCTCAATTGAAAATACTGCGGAAATCAGTGCTGAGAGGTATAACATTTTACCAGCCATGAGTAACTATCAAGGTTAGTCTATTATTTAAAGAATGAGCGATATCTCCGCTTTATGCTGAGGGTTAACTCTTCTTTGTTTTATGGAGAAAATCAGATAGCCCAGTCGAAAAGCGACAATATCACCACCTCAGGCAGCAATGAACCAAGGACCGGTACGTAAATGTTAATTTATTGAAATTCATAGACGTATATCCATTCCGATCATACATGTGTTTTGCAAGTATCAGAACAGTCTGAACAATTATAAGTCCAGAAAAGTCTAAACAATTTTTCATTTGCAAATATATATAAAAATGAATTTGTTTAGGAAAGGACCCCGCACAAATCGTATGAGAAATGGCCCTCAGCGGATTTGGCTGAAATTTTAGTATGATGTAGTCCTGGTCATGCTGAACAAAAGTCTCAATGGCACTGACAAGTTCTGATGGCTAGTTTTCGAGTTACAATAGATTAATGATTAATAATTAGAAAATTCAGCTAATATGATTAATGAAGTTTTATCAATAAACTGATGGTATCACATGGTGTTCCGTATTTTGCTAATGCGTATGAACATAAGACTACAG